AACATCATCTAGCGCGCAGACACACACAGAGAAAGAAACACACACACACTTACTCTCTCTCTCTCTCTCACTCACACACAGACACACACACACTCTCTCTCTCTCTCTCTCTCTCTCTCTCTCTCTAACACACTTTCTCTCTCTCACTCTAACACACTCTCTCTCACTGAGGCACCATCTCGGGGTTCCCAAAGAGTCGGGAATGGAGCACAGGAGAGAGCCAGTGCTTGGTAGCTGAGACTTGTGGGGGTCTGAGTCTTGGGTGCCGGTGGGCTAAGGTGACCTGGAAAAGCGGTGACTGCTAATTTGACTACATGCAGCAGCAGGTGTGAAAGTGAGAAGGGAGAAACAGAGAAGGATCTTGTGTTTGGTTTGGGGACGGTGAGAGGACCTGTGAGCGCCTGGGAAGAGCTCCAGGCAGTTCTAGAGTCTCCCAATCTATGCGCTTGAGAAATTGGGATTCTGGAGGGCCTCTTGTTCAAGGTCACCCCTCCCCCCAACTTTCCTGCTCCTGATTACTCGGGATCCGGCTGGCAGAGATAGCAAGATACTAACTTGTACAGGAACCCTGTCCTAGCCCGCATTCTCTCAAGCCGTTGGTGGTGGGGATACCTGACGCAGATCTTGCAGGGGACCAGAGTGTGCGCTGAGGTTCAGAAGGAAAGAAGGATGAGAGAGGGGCAGTGGCACGCAGATAATAACGATTTCTGAGAACTGATTGAGAGAAAGAGTCCATTTAAATAGTAGCTGATTTCACATCTTCTGCCTTGAAGGATGGCATGAGGACCCCAGCAGTGGAAGTCAGTTGTGGGAGACAGTGGGCACTCCCTCTGTATCAGCTCCTTTACTGTTAGGTGGTGGCTGTTGAGAAGCGACCCCTCCTCTCTTGAGGTGACCCCTCTGGCCTGGGCTTGTGAACCCTCCCGCCCTGACACCTGGGATTCGCTAAAGGTTTCCTTGCTCTCTTAAAAACCCTCACGCGCCTTCTTGAAGGACCCGGGGATTCAGCACCCTGGCCAGCGCCTCTCAGAGCCAGGAACAGACCCGGGTGCGCTTGGACCAGCCTCAGAAGCCGCTGTTGGCTGCTCTGGGGATCTGGGGAGGTTAAGTCGCTGCCCTGACTGCACCTTCCTGGCTTAATAAAATCATTTGACAGCGCCACAATTTTACGTGTTCAACTCCGTGTCATGGATTATGTTCTTTATTTAGTCATCACTTTTCCCAGATGCCTTTACCTCCGTTAACAGATACTCAACTTGACCTTCTGTGATGACCTCCCCTCTGCCCCCCCTCTGGTTCACGACCACTGATAAACTCACTTCTTATTTGGTTGCCTGTTTCATAGAAGTGAGCTGATTGCAATATTGATCCTTGTATGACGGACTTATTTCACTTAGCATAATAATTTCAAGGTTCATGTTGCTAGCACGCATCAGAACTTCATCTCTCTTTGTACAATAGGCCTTTCTGTAAACACACCACATTTTGTTTATTCATTCTTCTGTTGTTGGGCTTTTGTGGTGGTGGTGGTGATGTACTGTTGAGTCGACCCGATCCATAGCTGACCCTCCAGCGAGTTTTCAGAGGCGGTTAATCGGTTAATCGCTTGGGAGGAGATGGCCCATCCTTCTCCCACAGAGCAGCCCCGGTGGCCTCAAACTGCGTGCCTTCGGGATTGCAGCGCAGCTTCTTACCACTAGGCCAACAGAGCTTTCAGGTTGTTTTCATGATTTGGCTATTATGAATCATAATTTATTTCTATTTGTGGTCCTGTTTTTGAAGCTTTTAAGTATATACTTGAATCATATGGTAGTTGTGTGTTTAACTGTTTGAGGACCCACATTTGCTTAAAGATGTTTTTCAGATTACTTTTTAATAATATGAAACTATGTGGAACTACCAATTACTAACAAAATGGGGTGTGTTTTGTTCCAATCAGTTACTTCACTTAACACTTCCATTCTATATTATCAGTATGTTTATATGTCTAAATAAAACCTTAAGAGAAAATAGTCTTGTGTGAAGCAAAATACTGAAATCACTGAATGTCTAAAAATAAGAAACAGGAAAATGCATGGGGCATAGTCCTAGTCTAGGGTTGAAAGTGATAAAATCTTTAAAAAAATTATCAGTGATAAAATCTTGACACGTTGGCTAAAACATAGAGCTAGTTTATTGTCTTAACTTTCTAAAATATAGAAAAATTACATTGTGTTATGAAGAAGAAATGGAGGTACCCTTGGAAATGGATTCTTTAATTCACAACATGAAATAATGCCACTTGATGTGTGAAATTGTCTCTTGAAGCACAGAGTTTGTGTTAGATACTAAGGATAGGAAAACAGACCCAGAGAGTTCCTGTATTTGTAAGCTAACCAACTGTCTAGAGAGCAAATACAGCTAAACACTTTCAGGACAGTGTGGTAAGTGCATTTGAAGAGGAACATACGCGTCCTACAAGATAAAGAGGAAGGAACGATGAACTCCACAGAAGCTTTAAGAAAGATTTTTTAAAAGAATTGGCATACAATCTGGATCTTGAAAGTTGAATTCATCAGATGAAGGAGCACTGTACAGAGAAAGGAACATGAAAGCAAACAGAATGAAAGAATCTACTTTTTCACTTTTCAGAGTTCTTTTGTCCTGTGCTATGAATGATACGGAGAATGTCATTAAGGACTCCTGTATTTTTATATAGTCAATGCTGTGGACCAATAGTTTTCTTCTTATGCCCAGATTTCCTTATCTCAGGCCAATGGAATCTCTATCAAGGTTGCCCAAGGGTTCTTTTGGCATGACTCAGTTAGATTTGTGACATACATCTCACTTTGGACACAAATCCTATCTGGTGTCGTTCTTTACCCTAAAATGGAAAGCTAGCATTTATCTAAGAATTCCTGCTGCCTTGTTGGGGAAATGACATTTAGAAATAAAGTTGGGCAGTTGAGATAGTTACTGGCCCCCACATCACCATTGAGTAGACTTTTCAGTGGACAGAGCTAAGATACTTGTGTGGTTTGTTTTTTGTTTTTTTAAAATGAGGTTGCTAATATTTTTCAGTAAATAAACACACAATGAGCCAGTGATCCAAACTAACATTCCCAGTGAAAGCACTTTAGGTGGGGGCTTTTTTTGTTTTCTTTCCTTTCCTTTTTAATTGTGATTTTAACTAAAGTTTACAGAAAAATTGGATTTTCATTCATTCATTATTGTACATTTTCCTCCCTCCCTACCTCCACAGTTCACTTAAAAAAAATTCATCCATTGTCGCATAATTTCCTCCCTTCTTCCCATCCTCCAGTCCACTTTGCTATGTGCCCCTTATTTTGGTCTGCTGTCTTTAAACTGACATCCTTGCTGTTTAGGATTCTGTCTCTGCCAGCAGTTTTTCCAATGCGGTTCGACTTTTGATTTCTTGACGGCCACTGCCAAGGCTGTTGATTATTGTGGATCCAAGGAAGATGACAACTTCAGTCTTCTCTCCTTCTGTCATGATGTTGCCTGTTGGTGTGGTGGTGAGGGTTTTTTCTTTTTGTGATGTTGAGATGTAGTCTATTTTTTTAAATTGTTAATACATTTACTTTTTTCTTATGTCTTTACATCAATTTGTGGTTATTTTTGTTTGTGAGATTTTGAAGATTGATTTTCTGCAGCAAGAGCTTCAAGTCCTCCTCACTTTCAGCAGGCAAGATTGTGTCATTCGAATAATGCAGGTTGTTTTTAACTTTTTTCATTATTTTAATAAACATCACACATTAGGGATTAATTTTAATTATTAATTTAATAAAATTATTATCACCTTTTTATGGTGATTTTTAGTTAGTTGTGATGCTAAGCCAAAAATCCTGTCTCTCTGGTGATTTGACCTTAATAGCAGCTCTGTGAAAGAAAGATGGACAATTTCTTTTTGTGCAGTTTAGGTTTGTGGTTGTGAGGTGCGGTAGAGTCAGTTATGACTCACAGTGACCTGATGAATGATGGACCTGAGCCCTGCCCTTTCCTGTGCCCCCCCCCCCCATCGCATCATCTCGGCCACACTTGAGCCCATCGCTTCAGTCACTGTGTCAACCCCATCTCAGTGAGGGTCTCCCCTCCTTTGCTGAACTTTTTTCCAATTATGGTGTTCTTTCCCAAAGACTGGAACCTCCTAAAAACCTACCCGAAGTAAGTGAGATGAAATGACAGCCTCCTTCCCACGAAGGAGCAGCCTAGCTGCACCGTCTCCAGCACACATGCTGTTATCGTTAGGTGCCGTCAAGTGGACCTTGTGAACAGCAGACCTGAACCGTGCTGTGTCCTGTGCCATTCTCGCCTCCCTTGCTGTATTTGAACCCATTGTGCCAGCCAGTTGTATCAGATTATCTTGTCGAGGGTCTTTTTCTCTTTCAACTTTCTAAGCACGATGTCCTTTCCCAAAGACTGACCTCTTCCAACCACGAAGATGACTGTGGTGGTTACTGTGTATCATCCGGTTGGAACTAGTTGTTTTTTTTTTCTTCTTTCCTTGGTTGTAGGTTTTTCATTATGCTTGGAAGACTGTTCATACTGTGGATTAGGGCTTCCAGAGTTCTTGCAAGCTTTTCTT